AAGTTTTGTAAAAGAACAACTGGACTTAGTTTATACATCTGTGCAGTGAGATTTGGTGTTAGATACACAGATAGTGAAATACTTTTACAGAGCCTGAGTTGTCAGTGTTTGTGACTGGACCGCTGAGCATTTTTTGGGAGAGAATTTCATCCTGAACTCTTTCAGTCCTGATATTGTTAGATTATTTTTTTTTTCTTTTGAGCAAAGATAAGTAGAAAGTGAGATGGACATGGCAGAAATATTGTTTGTCCAATCTAGTAGACAGGCCTAGGTAAAGCCAAGCCATACAAAGGTATACTTCAAGAACTATGAGGTTTTGCAGGCTGTTGTAGTGTGTTTGTCCTTGTGTATGCCTTTTGCACCAGCATAAATCTGTCCCACAGAGAATAAAATGACCAGGAAAACTAACTAATGATTTGACTCTTCCACTGTAAAGCTAATTTCAGCTTTCTTTCAAAAGCTACATACAAATTCTTAGCAAGGAATTTGGTAAACTAATTTGCAGAAGTTCCGTCACAGACTTGTACTCATCAAACCCACAAATATCAGATTATAGCAAGAATGCATATACTGGGCAGATGATTTTGCTCTGAATAGAATTTTTTTTGAGTTTCCTGTTTAAAACTCCTTTCTGATTTTCTTGGAAGTTTTTTTGATACTTAGTTACATAACAGCCATGTTAATATTCAACCGTACTATTTGTTTACTAATATTGTTAATGTTTTAAGATAAACTGAAAGAAAAATTACACATTGCCGTGTATATATAACACGAAGAATGTGCTTTTCAAGAGCTAAAATTAAGAAATTATACTAATGTAAAAGTAAATATTAATATGAAGCTCCTATATTAGCTAGGTGAGATTTAGTTCCATGAATCTTATGTGTTCATCTCATCAGCGTATCAACCACAGCATTTCTGACTGTCTTTAAGGAATCAATAAAAAAATATGTGTGCCATTTCCCCTCTCCTTATTTTTAATATTTTGTACTTGCCTGTTTAAAGTTTTATATTTTACAGTATTTTAAATTTAGTTTCATGGTAGCTTTTATGGTGTGTCAGTTAATGGTTTTAACAGTGGTCAAGAAAAAGCCAGACTTTCTTTAGAGAATTGACTGAGAAAAATCTTTAGAAGTAAGGAATAAGGAACTCTGGCCTGAACTATTCACTAAACAAAATGCTGTGTTCCAGGGGGTGATTAATAAAATGTTCAGTCTGTTCCACAACAATACTGCTTGCTAATGGACACTTACAATTTTTGAGATATTTGGAATATTTCCATCTTTAGTCCAGATGCAAAGACTGCCAAAATCTGCCAACCATTAGTTGAGAGGATGAGAGTACATTTTTTGTTGTTTAAACTCTTCCCATTCAAATCTGGCCTTAGTGAAAAAGGATACCATGTAGTGAGGAGGGATTACTTATACTCAGGTCAGTTAAAGCTTATCCCAGACATGTCTTTTTTTTACTGTGCATACTGTTATGCACAATAACGGCATATTAAAAGTAGAATGGAATTCCTTCACTATTTTATTCTTCTGACCATTGAATAGGCGAGGATCAAGTGTTTCTTAACACTGTAGCAAGAATCTCATCATCTGTACCTAAAATTTCATGTAAACTGGTATAATACATATCTGAAAGATTATGTTTAATTGTACTGTGTCAGACCCCAGCTGTGAAAGATCCATTTCAGAAAAAAACAGTAGAAAGCATTTGCTTGTCTAGAAACGATCGCAGGAATCCTTTGTAGTCCTGGAAGTATGCTCTTGTGATTTTGTGGATATCACACTGTATACTGGAGAGTGGTTTGGTAATATCCAGAGACAGCACAGGTTTTTTTATATAGGAGAATATCTGCAGATTGTATTAAAAGAGTATCAGGTATTTGAGTCTTTTTTTCCAGAGTCCAGATTTATGTTTCTAACAGAACGTTAGTCTTACTTGGAAAGTAAATTTTACACAGCATTTACCACAAAGTGGTATATATATATGGAATAGGAAATAGTTACAAATATTTCTGTAGCATCTTTCAATAAATTGTGATTTTTTTATCACATTGATTATATTCAAAATAATTTTATTGTTTCCTGTTTTCTCACCTGCTTTTTATGCTCATCATGATAGGAATAGTCATGATCATAAGTAGAATAAATTTGACTCAGGAGGGAACATGGGATCAGTGAATATAGCACTGGGATGCAAAAGGCATGGATTGCATTTTGCTTTTCATAATCACTCTGTAAGTGGACTGGGACAAGTTAATTTCATCTCTGTGCCTTTGTTTTCCTTCATACAATATTGAAATCACGATGCTTCCTTTGAAAAATGAACTGAGGTCTGCAGAAAGATAAGTTATTTAAGGACTATGTGAAATTTTGTTGTTGTGGTAAATGGAAGGAGAAGGTGTTCATGACCATTCACACCAAACCTTGGTTTATGCCCTGTTTCCACCTTCTAAATGGGATGTTCTGCAAATAAAGACTTCTGTCATGGGTTGGACAGAGAGATTAGAATTACCTGTGGATACGTCAGAGATTTATCAGTGGGATCTTTCAAGGCTGCAGCTCAGATTCTCTCCTGCTTATTCTGCTTCCTAAGCAGTTGCCATGCATCAGATGTGTTTTTTGAAAAGTTGCTGTTTTGATTTAGTGTCATTTTGTGTCTGCTTTTTTTTTTTCTATTTTATTTATCTTGTAATTCTTTTTATATATGTTCGAATACAGTGAAGAAGTGGGACCTTTGAAATTCTTTATTGATGGAAACACTACAAAAACTTAAGTTTTGTATTGTAATCGTTTACTTGCAAGGATATATCTCAAAGCAACCTGTAGGACTTATCCCTGACTTCTGTTGAATTTCAGTGGGATTCAAAGTCTTACTCCTTCAGGCTCTTCTTTCCAGTTCCTTATACCTCAAACATCAATCTTATCATATATAGAAATGATTTACTGTCAAAGCCTCTCAGACAGAAACCACAAGGAGGCTTTTAGGGCAATTGTTTTCCTTGAATTACCTGTTATTTCTAACCAGATTTCATATATTCCCCCTGCTCCAAGCACACTGTTCCTCCTGCTCCTGTTCCTCCGTGATTTTATGTGTTTTGTGACTTTCCCTGGTCTACAACTGAACTGATAGATAACTTGGAATTTGTAAATGGGAGTTTAGGTGACATATTTATCAAATAAAACAGCATATTGAATGTGGGACAATTGAATGTGATCTATCATAAGGAAATAGGCACATTACTTGTCATGAGGCAGTGATGAGAAACAGTAAAAAATCAGGAATAGTGTCAAAGAAGTACATATTTAAGAAGTGCATAATTTTGTACTTCAGAGATATATCTACTATTAGTATAGATAATAGCAACAGGCATAAAAGAAAACCAAGCAAATGAATTTTTTAGTGTACTGTAGTGTTAGTTTTATTTAATATTTGTTTGAGTAACTATAACTGTAACTAGAAAAATAACAAAATTGTATTGCAGTCATGTAAGACCTCAATATAGCTAAAAACTTCACTTGTGGTTTTTGTCAGGTTAGTTTATAAGCACCCCACTACATCATTCCAAAAATATCTGCCCAAGAACCTGCCACAGTTCTTAATGACAACTGATTTCTCTCCTGCCCCTGCCATGTTCCTTCAGGTAACAAAATTCTCTTTCCTTTATTCCACATGCTTGTCTTTGCCTCTGGTGATGACCTGGAAAAGGTCTTTACAGCTCCTTAGCTCACAGACCAAAGGATCTGAAAAGGACTGTTGCTTCTTGCTGTCTACTCAGCACTCCTTTTATACCACCATATGATTGACTGAGAACAAAACTTACGCCTTCTTAATCAGCACACAAGGGGGCCAGCAGAAAGAGAAGGGGGCTAAGTTCCTTGAAATCACTTTTATATTGAAATCACTTGAATATTTTATATTGGTTAAAATTTTTCAGGACATGTCCATTCAAAGATAATTTACTCAAAAATGGTTTATGTAAACTGTAGCATTTTCAGAGTAATTGTAATAGTACAGGCTGTTGTAACATATAATATTTTGAAATCATGATTCCATTTTGCACCTGTCCCACAAAACTGAAATTGCACCAAGGTAACATTTGCCAGTTCACGGAATACAGTTTGCTTCCAACAATGTTTTTAAGTGCTTCCATTACCAAATTATATGCTGTGCTGACAGTAACAAACCTCTAAATCCAGTTACAGATCCAATTTTAAGTTAGTTAATTAATTTACATTATCAATGTTTAATCAGTATTTTTGTTTGTTTGTTTAGAAAAGCAACAAAACCCTGTAGATGGGATATCCAGCACTGGCTGACACAGGCATCTAGTCTAGGTCATCAGTCTGGTTTTGGTTGCATCCTTTTCTCTAGACTGTCCTTCCTTCCCAAATTAGGCACTAGAGAAAAGTTAAGCAGACTGTGTGTTGTCTGTTAATCATCAGTCCTACCTATGTACCTTTGTTAATAAAATCCACACCACTACAGAGCTTTACTTTCCCCTTTGGAAAAATCTTCCTATCAGTCTGCCCGAATGTACTGTACCCTTTATGGGTAGCCTTGTTTCCTTGCTTCCAATCTCAGCCATTCTCTGTGCTTTTGAAATGCTGTATTACTCTCCTTTGGGTGCATTTGCTGCAGGAACTACTTAATATCCTCCTGTGTATTTTTTTCTTACTTCTTAATGTAAAATATCTGTGTTTATTGAAATTACCCTTGTCCCACATACTATGTGTGTCAGGTACAGAAATCTAAATATTGGAAGGGTTTGACATACAAACAGCAGCTATCTATCATAAAGGAGAATATCATACTCTTAGTAAATTGACTTCCTTTTTATTATTCTCAGTATTATAGTTTTGTGTGATGGTTTTTCTCCACTGATAATTTTACCAATGGAATTTTTGCAACCACAGCTTTTCTATTTTGACCATCAGAAAGCAGATGAATGTTTCGTTGTGTCAAAAAAAAGGTATATCTTTATTCCGTTACAGGAATACACAATAGATGTTTTCTTCCGTCAGAGATGGAAGGATGAAAGATTAAAGTTTAAGGGCCCAATGAACATTCTTAGATTGAACAACTTAATGGCCAGCAAAATCTGGACCCCAGACACATTTTTTCACAATGGGAAGAAGTCAGTGGCTCATAACATGACAATGCCAAACAAGCTTCTACGAATCCAAGATGATGGGACTCTCTTGTACACTATGAGGTAGGTCTTTTCATCTGTCCTCTATTCAAATTATTTCTCAATGTGATTTTTCCAGATAACAGTTAAATAAGATTTCAGGAGGACTCTTCTTTGCTTCATTTCCGTCCCAGCAGAAAGAAAGCTAGGAAAACCAACGTTCTGCTTCCAGTTCTGTTACAAGTCTGTTGGTTGATTATGATCAAGTTAGATCAGTTTTCCTACATGTTCCTCAGTTTTCATACCTCTATAATGTATACTGGCCACCTGCATAAAGTGCTTGGAGACCTTCAGATGGGAATCCCTATGTAAGAATTGTTAAGAATACTCAGTTTACCAACTCCTATCTTAGAACAATTAAAATAGTATTTGACCTTTGCCTGTTACTGCACCCATTGTACCAACTAAGTGAGCCCTTAAGCAAATTCATTATTAAGATCTGTGCCGATAAAAAACAAAGAGGAAGAAGAAATGGTTAATAAGGCCTCAAATTCTTTCCAGCAAGAACTACTGTCATGCTGGACAGCTGGACATAAAAATATGTCTTACTCTCTAATAACTGTTTCTTTATATCTAATTAAAATACTTAGACCTTTTTTTTTTAAAATTTTTTCATGCTGTGCATGATTAGCAGCTTAGGTAAACACTTAGCTGGGAAAATGTATTAAATTTCTTTATAAAATAATATATAAAAAATTTTACATACATATGTATAGACATAAGCAGAATTTTTATATGACTGATTTCTTCTTTGATTACTCTTGTTGCAATAATGTTGCCTATATGTATTTTTAATCCAAATGTCCAGAAACCCCTGACTTAGGGTTTTTTTTGGTTTTTTTTTAGAATTTTTAATACATTGAATTTGTTGTGAATGTAGATTTAAAATCTCCAGCCTAGGAAAGATATAAATTGTGACCTGTAAAGCAAACACGTACTGTGCAATTTTATCCTTGCAACCATACCAGCATTCCTTAAGCCTGATTTACTATAGAATTCCCAGACCATTACAGGATAGAATGTTGATGGGTAGACTGCTAATAATGTTGAGTGATGCAGTGGTTGGAGAGGTTCAGAAAAATTTGCTGGAAATAAATTGAAACCTCCATTTATAGTATTTTTCCTTGGACTCAAATCAATATTTTAACTTATATAAATCTATATAAACTGATTAAAATTCTCTCCCTCCAGAAGGTGTTATAAATATATGCTACAAATAATAAGAAATACTGTTTGAAACAACTGTGAAGAATTTAAAAAACCCCAACCATTTCAAACTGTTTCAAATTATTTTTTATAGTATTAATCCCAATATTTGTTACTGGAGTATTGCTGGGATATTTTCACAGAATGAGCAAAAGTGAATGTATTGTTAACACACTGTCATGCTTATACATAAAAATTATAATCACAAGTAACATGGAGAGCAAGTAGCAGCAATCTTTTGAAAGAACACCAACAGGTTTTTTTCTACATCTTCCATTCAAACTGTAAAAAAAAAAATTCAGAAAACTATGGAGTACATTTTTTTTGCAAATTAACTGTATTTTGTGTGATATTGTAATGAGCCTTTGGGAGCCATACAATCACACATGTGCCTCAGAATATTATGAGAGAAAAAATTACTGTTCTTAATAACCTGCAGTTACATAATTTATATTTTCATTTAAATGGCCTTTGCTCATAGTTTTGAGGTCAGCTCTTTCAGGTTTTTGATGTGATAAGTCAATGCCTTCCAAAGGCATAAAAGAGAAGAAGCAAGAGCTGATTTAAATTTTAATTAGTTTAATATAACATTTTAGTTTCATCTCCTAAATCAGCATGAACTCTGTTCATTTCTGTGGAATTGATTTTCTTGTCCTGATAACTGACTTAAATGCATAGCGGTCTTTTGCCTTTCAGGCTTACAGTCCAAGCTGAATGTCCAATGCACTTGGAGGACTTCCCTATGGATGCTCACTCATGCCCACTGAAATTTGGCAGCTGTAAGTATATAACAAGAAGTATAGCCTTTGGTTAGTGAATATCTAACATTGCTCAGCATCCCTTTGTTTCAGTAAGTTGTTATATGAGAGGTTTAAAATGCAAGATGGTACTTCGAAAAAAAATTGTAACCAGACACATCAAGATCTCTTTTCTCTATTCAGTATTGTGTCTTCTATTTTAAAGCTTTCTTGACTCCAGTTAACAATAAACACTGTGCATCTAGTTCAGCACCACTGCACTGATCTAATTTTATTCCAGCATGCAAACCATACCATACTTAAGATGCATACTTAGGTGCATGTAGCCTGTGTAGTATTAATGAAGAGCAGAATAAAGACTTCAAAGAATGGTTGTTTTTGTTTATCGAAACATTTGTTTTCTCTTTATTGTTAATGATATTTGGGTTTATATTTTGTTAATGAAGGCAACAACAAATGGCTTCTTGTTGATAAAAAATTTCACTCATTAGCACATCTGCATGTTATAGACAGGTGGACTTTGATCTCATTAGTATTAACAGCAGCATAACTTCATTTACTTATATTACAGTATTAATTCTTCTTTATGAATTAAGATCACATTATAGATATTTCCTCGATTTTGTACACTAAAAGTTTTTTTTGTTGTGGTGTTTGTTTTTTGGGATTTTTTTTGTTTTGTTTTGTTTTTTTTTTTTGTTTTTTTGGCTGCAGCTGATGTTCTCTGCTGGGCCCAGGAAAGGGAAAGGGTTTTTTAGGAAACTGGTTAATACCTTTAAATTCTGGCTGATTTTATGTTAATTGCAACCCACACAGGTTGCAAAACGGGTGATATGCTGCCCCTAAGGACATTGTTAACCAGATTAATACTGTCAGAGCACTGTGCACACTTTTCACAACCCTGACATATCCCTTTTCCTTGGAGTTTGGAGCAAATTAAACCAAGCTTGTGTTTCTGATGGTGTTTCCACACTAGAGGGAAATCTTATCTGTGGAGATAAAAGATCATTAGAATTACTAATAGTAAAAGCCTTTTTTCCCCCCCTCTAAGTATTATATTTATGATACATAATACAGCTTTACTAACACTAGAGATGTTAGCTGAAATTGGCTACTGACTAATAATATTTACATATATATGCACAGCAGGGTATGTTTGATTTATAAGGTGTGGGAGGAAAAAAGACTCATATGTATCCTCAGAACAGCTTAAAAAACCCCTGTAATAATGAAACTGATACACAGGCCAAGAGGCTACTTTTTAGTACAACTTAATTTGCATTCCTAAATTTGAAACCCTTCTGACTAGGTATATTCGACTTTGTATGAACATTTTTTTCCTTTGTCTTCCTTTTTTTTTTCCTCTCATTTATTTGTTTGGGATTTTTTCCTTACTAATTTGTTCTTTGTTCTCTGTCCATGATTTCTGGTTTTCTAGTAAGCAGTAGAATTTAAACTGTAAGCAATGTGATTTTAGAAAAGCTGTCTTTCATTTCCCCTGTAGTCACCTGTGCTTCATCCTGTTGTCCCATCCAGGGGACTCTTGTTTTGAATGGCTTCACACTCATTTCTTTACCTAGCACTCATTTCTAGACTACTGTGCGTTTTTCAGCTTTTATTCTGAGATAGAATTTGAATGATGAATAGTGGTGAAAATAAGCAGGAATCCCAAGGATTTTGGTTTAGCTGAGGCAAGTCTACTTTGTCACAGCTCTTCATATGGTGCTAATCTTACATTGCTAGGATGATCCTTGGCCTTATGAATGTCTCAGATATCTTTTTTTTATAGATAAGAGAAAAGCCAAACTGAAGGTATTGGAGAATCTGTAGCTTAATAGATTGTCTATCTTTATTCTTATCAAATGTCTAACCAACAGTGGGGAGGATGGGGACAAATCAGCGATTGGCAATACTGATGGTATGCATTAAAGCAGAGGTCTTCTTGTGGGAAGCTGAAAGATAGAAGGGAAGTGTTAAAAATCTCTACATGCTACCCACCTAGATTTTGTCAGTCATGCAATTTATGGCTAGTTGCATGAAGCTTCTTTCTGGATCTTCAGAGATTTCCTAAGTGAAAATGTTTGTAGCTCAACAGAAATGTTGCTTTTCTTTCTCACTTCACTACAGTTATGGTATAAGACTTAAAATGCAGTTTTCTCAGTCAATCAGAATGAACACACAATTTCTTATATCAGTGGTTTTTTACCCTTTTCCTTTTATAGTCCATTTGTTAGTAGGGTACCAGACTGGAAAAACTTGCAGGACATACTCAATCTTTTTCTTTCTTACTGGAGAGGCATTAATGCTTTTTAAAATGCAGTGTTGATTTGCTTTTATTCTAGTTTATTTTGACAGACCCTAAGCTAGATGTAAGCTTGATCATGAACGCACTGAGAGAGCAGCTTGCTTAATGTCAGTGTGTCCCACAAAAACATGCCAAGGAATGAAATTTAAGAGGGTATGCAAGGCAAGGCCACTACAAGTTTAAGGGCATTGTCACTGAACATGGCTTCCCATATTTAGGTATGAATTTCAGGTAATAATAAAATACTTGTGATGCATTCCCAAAGAGGAGAGTGGGGACAATGGAAAGTCAGAACAACACATGAATGAATTTTCAGAAATGCTGTGTGTCCTAAATCTTACAAATTGTTGTTTTTTTCATCTAGCTTACCACGAGTTTTAAGGTACATATAATATCTAATCTCTGACAAGTTTTTTAACAGTGTAGAAGAGATGCTGTTTGTAATTTAATAGCAATAAATTGTGGTTAATAAAATCACAAACGAGTGCTCTGTTCCCATGATGCAATGGGAATTTACCCTGTAGTAATACTATTTTAAATGGCCAAACATATTTTTTACCATATTATTTTAAGCTTTTGGGGTGGGTCATTTTGTTGAAAAATAAGTAGGTCTTAAAATTCTATGAGTTTTAATGGAAGCTGTTTAATTTAAAATGCTGGTAAAATATTTTATTTCCCCGCAGATGCATACACAACTTCAGAAGTTACATACATTTGGACTTACAATGCTTCAGATTCGGTGCAGGTGGCACCAGATGGCTCAAGATTGAATCAGTATGATCTTTTAGGCCAAACAATCGGAAAAGAGACAGTTAAGTCAAGTACAGGTTAGTAAAAGATATTTTGAAAAAAAAAGGCACTGACCTGGCTATGAAAGGCATTGCTGCTGGTGTTAGAAGGCTACTGAGAAACACCGTTGCAAAATGTGAGGTATTGGACATAGTTTATTAATGTATGGTACAAGTATCACATAGCAGCGCTTCACTGATTCTTTCATGTTAATAAGTAACTGGTGATAGCAGAGGTGAACTTGTCCCCAGTAACTGTTATTTAATATTATCTGGAGCTCAGTCTTGAATCTCAATGTAGACTGGGATAATTGTTTTACTTCATATGGTAAATGACATTTTTTGTCTAGTAGATGGTGAAGCATGCAGGTTTCAACAATTTTTCCCTTCCAACATCTTTTTGGCATTAAACACTGGATTATTCTACCAGACTCTAGACTATGTTCCTGCTTGTGCCAGGCTGTGATGGACTCCCATGATTGCCTTCTGACTGTAGAGTAAGTTCTCAGGGTGCTTTTGTGTGAACACAGAGAGTTGTTTATGTGCAGAAGCCTGAAGGACTGAAGTTTTTGTCAGGTGTTACAAGAGTTCCTGTTAGTTCCTGAACACTGGTCTTTCCTGGAGATCAATTGGAGTAAGATGTAGTTGGACTCAAAAACTTTCTTATATTCTGTAAGATGTTTTCTACTACAAAATACTTTCTGTGCAATTTAACCCTAGAACATTTGGTTTTTATAAACATACCAAAATTTTACCAAAGGGACTTTCAATAAGATGATAACCTTTTGTTTCATTATATTTTGTTTGTTTGTGGCACCTAGGTGAATATACAGTAATGACGGCTCATTTTCACTTGAAGAGAAAAATTGGTTATTTTGTCATTCAGACTTACCTACCCTGCATCATGACTGTCATTCTCTCTCAAGTGTCATTCTGGCTGAACAGAGAGTCTGTACCTGCCAGGACAGTCTTTGGTGAGTATACTGAGTAGCATTAGCTTTGTCAGCAACAGATGAAGCTGTTAGGAAGCATTTCTGAAGTGTGCTTGGTAAAGGCTTTTTTCATTCAAGTTAGTGTGTTTGTAGAATGCGATGCTTTTTCTAGTTCAAACAGTTTTCAACTGCAGCTTACAGATCTCCTGAGAACCCTAAAGTTTTTAGAAATTATCACATAAGAGAGAATTGTCCATATATGCTTGACTCTTTTAGAGAAGAAAAAGTTTTCACAGAATGGAAAAAGATTATAATGTTTATATTTTAAAAGTAAATTTATATTATCTTCTGAAATGTCTTACCTTGATATTATCCAAGTATTTTGGTACTTGGTAGATGTGGAGGTTTGAACTCAGCCGGTGGCTGGCAGTTCACCTCCCCGCCCCCGCTCTGGTAAAATAGGGGAGGGACAAAAAAAAAAAAAAAAAAAAAAAAAAAAAAAAGACTAAATATAACAAGAGAACAAGAGTAACAATAGTGAATTCAATAGAAAATGGGTAAAATGCAACAGTGGCTTACCGAACGCAACCGCCCCCCACAGCAAGAATACCACTGGACCCCGAGGAGAGAGCGAGGCCCACCCCACCTGGGCATGACATCACATGGTATGAAATACTCCAATGGAAATTAAGTCCATCCAAGAGACTAGATAAACATGTTTCTAAATATATTTGTAAATTAATCAAATTAAATTTGAATTTTTTAAATTATTGAATGTGTTAAACTTTACAAGCTGCAGTTCTTTAAAATAAACCCTATTTTGGGGGTTTGGCAAAACTATCTCACTAATTCAAATTAGAATGTACTATAAGACAACAAACAGCTTCAGCACTGTAAAATGATGGTGTTTCGCTTACAATAAGTTTTGCTCTCTTCTTTATTAAAGCAAAGTAACAAATATATTTCTTATTTGCATAACTTAAAGATATTTTAATTTGTTTACTTTTAAAGAAACAGAGATTAGCACAACAAAACATAAATAATACCTGTGTGGAATCAGCCATCAGAATTGCTGCATAAAATTGTATGATTACTCAACAGTAAACACCATGCACTCTTCAGAAAATAGGCCAAGCTCAAATGCATATTAAGTATGATGCACAAAAAAGCACTTACTTTCTCTCCTGGTAGAGAAAATGCCACACAAAGCATTGTGAAAATTGCAGGCTTGAATATGAGCCTTACTGAAGTCAGATGAAATAGGTCAGTGGTTTTAGTGGGTCCAGAATTCTACCATGTTTTCCCAGGCAGTTATTAGGCAGATTTTTGGTTTTCTTTCTTAAAAATCTTCTGTGAATTTGTCCATTTCTGCTTATCAAAGTGCACATTTCAGTTCTCCAGCCTTGCAAGTACACTGTCAGATGCTTCTATATCTCTGTCTTTGCCCTTTTCTGTACCTCCTCCTATACATTTAAGACGGTGTAACTGGTTGTCCAAAAAAATCTCACATCTTTTCTTCCTAAAATGTGCCCTTACTGTGTTGTTGATAAAAAGGTGCTACATCAGTAACAAGCACTAGGATATTTTTCCTGGAATTTTGTGTCCCTTCCTGCATACCTCTTTCTTGTTCTTGATTATTTTTTTTTAATTTATGTTTGTTTTGTTTTTAAATAAGTAACGTCTGCATGGCAGCCTGCTGCTTTACTCTCCTGGGGGTTTAGCATAATATGGCTAATGAACAGTGTCTTGTTTCAGGATGTCTTGAGCGAACTGGGTTGAGTGGTTGCAAGAACAGAACCACACCACCCAGTGACATAAAATCTAAGATCTGTTTACTAAGCACAATGGGTATATCAAGGAGGTAGCAATTTCTATGCTAGTATTTTATTCTGCCACACACATGCACCTCACACACCAGTCAGGGCTCCATCTCTTCCAGGACAGTTTAGACTGGCACCCTTGATCCCAGGGGAACAAGACATGTATGTACAGGCTCTGCCTGATGGAACATCCTAGTCCCTGCATGCAGCATTTGCACCTCAGGCTTAACCTTCTGTGTTGGGTTGGATGTCCCCTGTGGAGCTATTTCTTAACATTCTTTTACAGTCTAGATGAGATTGTCAGCATAAGCTGCCAATGGCCTCTCTAACCATGTAGCCCCAGGAGAATCTCCCAGTCTTTCTCCATACCTGCTGGCAGCAGTTGTCACTTGGATTTCTGATACCCTCTGGTCTTCTGCCTAAATGTGTTACAAAAATGTGAAGTTAGCCACAGTTTCACAACAAAATTCATCTATTGCTTCTTACTGTTTTCTGGCTCATACTGAATTAATCTTGACAGATAGAACTGGACAGATAAGAGTCAAGGTCTCATTTGAATGGTATTTTCAGGTACAGTCCACCCAGTGACACATGAAGCTCATATTAAAGTTAATAAAACAAGCTACTTCCATCAGGGAATATAAACACTGCAGGAGATTTTACTTTACATTTTTATTGATCATACTTAATTTTTAGTTTTTATATGGAGTAGTCACTTGCTAGATACTTGCTGGATGGATTATATAATAAATATATCAGTATTAAAATAGTTAAGTAGAAGGTATTAGTTTCGATAAAGTTTTTTTCAGAATCAATGAGAAATTTATTTCAAATACCTTCTTGAGAGCTACCAAGTCCCTCAAAAGATTTAACTAGTGGAGTACTGTTCTTTTCAAAAAACATAGCTTCCAGTTATTCAAAGCACCATTAGCATTTTTTTTTTTTCACATTTGAAAGAATTTACTTTTCTTTCCCCTTTCTATTCTATTGTAATGTAGTTTCAAGTTCTAGGTTAACATTAAGGGCTTGGTATAATGAGGCTTCTTTTATATTGAGCTCTTTAATCCCTTTTCCTTATGGCACTATTTAATATTGCTGACCTAAGCTATCCCAAAATTAATTATGGCTTAATGTCATATTATTTCAGTTTTGCTTTAAATTATTGGAAGAAGAAAGCTTTATCTTCATTAATTAAATAAGTCTTAAATGTGTTTTCTCTAGCAGATAAATTTGAAAAGACTTTGATTGCATTTTTAACGAAAGGGAGTAAGCCTGATTCATAATGCCTTCATTTAATGCAAGATTACAATCTGTTTCATTTAGTAATGTGTTTATTGTTACGCACTTAGTGTCAACAATTTTAGCAAAACTAATCTTGTGCAGCTTATTGAATTCTCACTTCATTTTTAATGGGTCATAACATTTAGAAGCATCACATATATTTGAATAGCAGCATTAGATACAGGTGACAGAAAAATCAGAAATTAGTTTTCTTAGTGCTACAGTCATGTATGTGTTTTTAACTCACATGGAGTAGGAATGAGAATGTTAAAATGAACGTAGTTAGAGATATATTCTTTGATACCCAACGCAAGCAAGAACAATAATGAATAGTCATATCATTTTTTTTAGTACCTTGTCTAAGATGTAGAATTTTAAATTCACATAGCTATGTTCTTTTGTGAGGGCTATTATTTAGGCCTTTTACTTTCATTTTTAAAGGAGATGTCCACATTCTAACATGAGAAGACTAGGACATGATTTAGCTGGCTGAAATCTGTTCAAATTAGAAAAATTGGTTGATACACAAGAGGTGAAATTAGGCTCCAAAACAACTTGTCCCTCTCTAGGAGTAGCCTGAATTTTGCATACAAATGTGGGCATAAACTATTAATCATGACAGATTTTAACCTTAATATTTATGTGCTTGCTCCTCCAATTTCCACTGTATGTTTTTACTTAGGCATTTCTAGTTTTTCAGTTCACCTCTTCTGCTGTTGTGTGGCAGTGCCCTATGCTGTTGAGTGACAGAAATTGGTTGACCAAAGGTGGCTGTCTAACTTTAAACACATCTTGAATCGTATCCATATGTCCTGGAATCCAAAATACATCAGAGATGGTATTTTCTACATAATAAGTTTGGTGTCAGTGAAAAGCATTGAATTTGCAGACCTGGACATGGGTATCCTCTCTCCAGTGAATGGATTCCATTTCAAAAGTGGGACCATAAAAAAACAGTCCTAGGCAATTAGATAGCTCCAGCCTTCACCTGAATAGATAAAATTGTAGTGATAGAAGATATTTAACTTTTATAGGCATGCACTGCTGAGAACGAAAGTTGTAGTGATGTTGAGGTATATTGACTGTCAAGTATAAAATGCTTGGTCCTCTTCAGAGAAGGAAAATGTCGATGGTTTATTTTCTGGATTCTTTTTAAAGGCTAACTGATGACTGCTTGTGGTCTCTTACAAGAGGATATCTGTCCATGTCCTTCAGGCATGCATTCAGTGCCACATCTACAGGGTGCTGGGCTATAGAAGATATTTCTTGGCCTGTATATAAACTGTGGTCTTTCTACATCATAGTGAGATATCATGCAGTCTTGACATAGCCTGTTAAATTATTTAGTCTGTTCAGAGAAGTATATGATTTAGGGGAGAAGACTGTTTAATATTTTGGCTATCTCATTGTAGGGGGACAATCTACTCACAGTTTTTTATACCAGTTTTAGTTCACTAGTGCTATGAATTAGATAATGCAATGAGGAATGTTTTTGATCTGGTCAGTGTATGGGTTTTGTGGAGTTTTAAGTTCAATCTTTGTGAAATAAATTTGTTTTGTTTTACAAGTTGACCATGTTCCTCCACATTAATAATTTTTCCGTCCTCTCAGGTTTAGGAGTGACAAGGAGGAAGGTTATTTCCATCCACTCATTTTTCTTAAAGAAGGCTTGATAAAACTGATTTTTCTAATTAACTATAATGTGCAAAATCATCTGTCTTTTGCCTGAAGGAGAATAGCAAGTATAAAAATACTAGAGATTCCTAAACTGACAGGTATCACAGATTAAATTTTCTGTTCAATTTTTTTCCCACTCGATTCAGGTTAAATGACTGCAGTAGCTTGAATGTCACTGAATTTATAGAGTGAAGGAATAAATGAAAGTGTGTTGGCAATTGTCTGACAATGTGCTGTTTGATTAGCATTTGGGTCACAAAGTGGTGCGGATTGCTGAACTTTTTGGAGTACTTGTCAACTGGTAGCAGGATAGACAAGATATAAATTAATGATGTTTTAATTGAGACTAGAAAAGGTCAGCAGGTAATCTTAAATTAGATTTCTCAAGAAGCCAGTGGGACTTACAGAAGATTAGTTTATTCTGAAAGGCAGGAGTTAAACAGAAGACTACCATAGCAACTGTATATATTTACATGTGGATAAGGTCACCTTACCTCTGAGAAACAATCACCTTAGTGATACTTCTGTATAATTAAAATGATTTATCTGCATCTCAGGACCAGTGTTAAAATTTGCATGTGATAATTTTAAATGTAAGATAGACTGCCTTTTCTCTGAGGTGCTGAAAATAATTAAGCCATATGTTGTGTAAGTGTTAGGAGAGAGTAAGTTCTTTACAAAATATATTGTCTAACCATTTCAAACAATATAATATGATAACTGCTTTTCATCATATAGGTTAGTAGATCCCAACAGTGTCACAGCTGGTTCCAGACGAAATCCACTTCTTTAATTTATGGAGTCTGAAAAATAGCAATTAGAGAATTATGTTCACTAAGGTGTCTGGATGACTCAGCAGGATGTTTCTGTGCCTTGTTTTCCCTGATGCACAGGGGACACATCAAAAGAGAGTCGCGCTGAGGCTGAGTCCACTTAGCTTTCCTCTGTCATCCTTTGTAGCACTCTCAGAGATGGATATTCTTTACAGGAGGGATAGAAATTGCAAAGCCTGAAGAGGTCTGAGTAGGTGTATTTGCTGCCTCTCTTCCCTCTCACACGGTGGTTAAAAATTCTTCTCTTGTAGCAGAAGGGAAAAAATTTGAGCTATGTTGATCCTGCAGAACCCAGGTGACAGGTTGCTGACAGTGGAAGATCTGGCTTAGGGAGAGACTTTACTTTCTCTTGGGGATCTTCTTACGGCAATTTTATGAGTGTGTAGTTTCTGAAGCTGTGATGTGTAGTTACTAATATTTTTGCCATGGCATCTCCTTTGCCTGTCGTAATGGAGTGTAGGTTTGCTGATCTGTGCTAAGTACATCATTGTGTTGCTTTTCATTCTGGAGACATATTTAATGGTGTGCCACAAAGGAAATAGTTTAATTTGTCTAAGTGTGATGCAGGCTGAGGTGGGAAAACTGATTTACTTAAGGAATGGAGACTGTGTTTGTGGCTGTGGGTTTCTGCTTGCTAAAACTGATTCAGAAAAATGTTCTTCTCTTCCTTTCCTCCCACGTACCTTTTTTTCTGATATTTTTGAGTTTAATTCCTGTCTTCCTACTGGCTCTTCATTATGTACAAAGTACTGTAAAATGCCGTCCTTTTAATAACTGCCACAGTAAAAGAACAATCTTCCTGGATCAAGTCTTTTGTTTTCTGACACATAATACAGAGTTATAATAATCTGTCGTTTCAAATCAATATGCTCATCTAGAAAAGATCCATGTTACCTGAATGAAAACTTAACATGTTTATGTCTTCAACTATGTCGCCAGATGGTTAGTGAGACAGCTATAGGTAAAAAAAAAAATCATCATTTCTAATAATAAAATTCAATTTGGATGGTAGTGTCTGTAGGATAGGTGCCAGACCTGCAGCCACTGCAGTGAAGCCATCAACATATTGATCATTATTACTCTAATGCTTCAAAATATTATGATTCCATTAAGGAACTGTTAAAAAAAAAAAAAAAAAAAAAAAAAAAAAAAAGAGAAAATTTTCTTATCTCCTGTAAGTAAAATCTTCAACTGGTTAAAACAGGGAAGTTTAGACTTGAACTAAAATACTTCAAAGGAAACTTCATATGCAGCCTTTAATATGGTTCTGGTGGTTTGTCACCAATTCAGATAAGCAAATTTTCCATTGTGTTTCACAAACATGCCATAAGAATTTTTGGTTTGTATTTTTGTTAATATTCAAAATCCAAATAAAATCGTGGATGTTCTGTTTTCTTGTGCCCTTGCAGGAGTAACAACTGTGTTGACAATGACAACACTGAGCATCAGTGCTCGAAATTCACTCCCCAAAGTAGCATATGCAACAGCTATGGATTGGTTTATTGCTGTTTGCTATGCATTTGTATTCTCTGCATTAATTGAATTTGCAACTGTAAATTATTTCACAAAGCGAGGATGGGCCTGGGATGGAAAAAGTGTGGTGAATGATAAGGTAAGTCCTAAGGAAATAGCCCTATTTCCAGTCAATTGCACTAAGCCAGCTGTAATATATTATTTTGATAAGTTTGGCTATATAAAAAACCCTCAAAACTGTTTAAATCGAAAGAATGTAGATGTATTTTCTGTCCTGAACAAAAATATTTCTGTCCTCATGTTTTTTTTTTTTTTTTTTTTTTTTTTGTGTGTGTGTGTGTTGAGAACATTCTGACTTGTTTCTTGACTACTCAGATACAACTTTTTATCTGGTTATTCAGAAAATTTAATCTAGATTATATTGATCACCTTTTTATTATTTAATCCAGTTGAGTTGGTAATAAAAAAAAAGATTTAAAAATACAATATATATAAATTTTCCTGGTAACTAAGCATCAGAAAAACAACTGAATGCCCATATATGTAAAAACTATTAATTACAAATTCTAGAAGTTTTGAACATTTTCTGCATTCTGAAACTGATCATAAGGATATGTAGCCATTAATTTTTAATTAATTTAAATAGCAGGTCTACAAAATTCTGATTACTTCATTTATGATATATTGATGCTCTGAGTGTGCAGAAACATAGTCACACCTTTATTTTCTGATGTTGATAGCAGTGTAGGTGTGATAGCATGAAGAAATTTTAACCTAACAGAATTTCTTATTTTGTGAACAAAATGAACTTGGTGATAGCTGACTTCTTGTTTTGACTGTCTTGCTATATTATAAAATTTTGTTTTATCCCAGTCCCTAATTCTACCAATGGAGAAGAATTTCTTCTGACAAAGAATACTCTGATTTCTGTGGTTCTCCTTAAAAAAGGATAGACTATTATTTGCTTTCTAGATGATAATAGTGGACGTGAGGCAAAGTTTAATTAACTGATGGTTTCAAAGCACTTTGAATGCATAAAGCAGAATGCATAAAGAAGCAAAATGTTCAGTTAATGGTAAAGGAGAAATAGAGAAAATGAGTATATTGCTTATAATTCCCTATGGCTTCTGGAAAGACATGAACTATTCATAGCTTCACGATCTGCTCCCTTGTGCTAGAAGTAGATACCAAATCACTACAAGTTTATCAGTTTGTCATGAGTGAAGCTTTTCAGACTGGCACATTGCCCTGGCATTGTAATAATGTAGGGAGCCCTTATAACCCTTCCAATCCTTTGGCTGTTCCTTTAAATTAATATAGCACTGTTGTCTCATGATCTTAGGAGGCAACTGTTTAACAGCTAGTATTCTTTCCTTAGGAATGACAAAATCAGCCATTCCATTTATATACCATTCACATACACAGTTCTTTTTCTTCAAAATGATTTAACCAAAAGCTAAACTTCTAAAATATAAATAGTTTCTCATACAAAAATACAGTTCATCTTTACTATGCAGGTCTCATTGATGGCATTACAAATAACTTCTAAAACCACACTAAATGTGACTGAAAGGAAGAAATTGTAGATCAATTAGAGTGTTCCTCTTGTAATTTGATTCAGTAATCTGCACTTATTTTTGCTGAATGAATCTGTGCACCCACAGCCAGGCTTACCCTTCACCAAGTAAAGTGAAATGTGTTCCCTCAGTGACAGTCATCTGTGTTTACATTATGTGGAAATTCCCATCTAAGTGCTGTCAACATGGAATTTGTCTCGCAAGAAAGCAGATGCAGGAACAAGCTACATATTGGTCAGCCCATTTTCATACTCGTGTCAATAAGGAACAATACTGAATTCCCACCTCATCCCAGATTTTCTTATGTGACATCTCATGAGACAAGGTATTTGGGGTATAACATCTAATATAACATCTAACCATGAATATCTCATCAAGATTTGTAGACGTCCCTGATAAATATCAAATTGGAGCTACTTTAATACCAAAATTGGAATCTGGGTAGATGCCTCCCAGTGGAAGTAAAAAATTGGAATCCACCTGTATGAAAAAGGTCACAAGAATTCCCTCAAGTGTGCCACTTCCTTTAGAATAAAAAATCAAACCAAACTAACACAATAGCTGATGATTACTTATATGAACCAGAAGTTAACCATTTCTTCATCTCTTTAATTCTGTATTTGTGGAAGAGATGGACTGAATCTACTATTTATTTGCCTGCTTCTAAATGATATATGGAGACCCTTGCTTCCTAAGAAACCAAAATCCTTCCATTCTCTGGAATTGCTGCAAAACAGTGAATCATTTTATAGCATTAGAGTCTTATTGCAGAGCTAGTCTGTGTACATATATATATCTCTCTAAAAATTCAAGCCTATACTCCTTCCCTATACATCCCTGTATCTATTTATAGACATAGTGTGGCCATTGGGCTGCCATTGGCTGAACTTTAGCCATTTGAAAGCAAACACCATCCCATAAAAACACAGAATTGATGATCTTGGAAGGGACCTCTGCAGATCATTAAATTTAACTCCCATATACTCCAAGCAGGGTCAGCTAGGGACACTTGCCTAGGGTCATGTGCAGATATTTTTTTAATAGGTCCAAGGATGGAGACTCCATAAGCTCTCTCTCTGGGCAATGTGTTTCAGTGCTCAGTCACACTCACAGTAAAACAGGTTTTTTCATATGTTTAAGTGGAATATTCTGTATTTCAATTTGTGCCCATTGCCTCTTGTCCTTTCATTGGACATTACTGAGAAGAGTCTGGTCTGGTCTTCTTTACTCTCTCCCACCAGATATTTATACACATTGATAAGATCCCCTTGAGCCTTCTCCAGGCTGAACAGTCCCAGCTCTCTCAGCCTTTCATATTTCAGACACTTCAGGCCTTAAATCATCTTTGTGGTCCTTCACTGGACTCGCTCCATTATGTCCGTGTCTCTCTTGAACGGGGAAGCCCAGAAGTGGATCCAGCACTCTGGATGTGTCCCACCAGGACAGTCGAGGGAAAAGATCACCTCCCTCTGCCTGCTGACAATGCTTTTTGTAATGCAGCCCAGGAGAGTGTTGGCTTTTGTTGCTATGAGGGCACATTGATGTCTTGTGTTCAACTTGGTGTCCACCAGGAACCCCTGGGCTTTGTCTACAAAGCTGCTTTCCAGCGCATTAGCTCCAGCCTGTACTGGTGCATGGGGTTATTCCTCCCCAGGTGCAGGACTTAATTTTCCCTTTGCTGAACTTCATTAAATTCTTGTCATTCCATCCCACTTTTCTTATCATCTGTTATTTTTTAGGTTTTAATCCCCGTTTTCATCACTGTTATGCATTTTTTAAACAATAATTTCTGAAAACAGGAAATAGTTCTTGGGCTAGTTCTCAGCTGACTTCTACAACTACCAGGTTGGAGTAATTAATTGCAATCTCTTTCTGACCTCTCGTGTGTGTGTGTATGTGTGTGTGTGTGTATGGTATATACACAGGATGGTATATATATATGTAAACACAGACATATTTCTTCAGAATCTCTTAAAAATGTAGACCATTACTGGAATTCCTTTATATGTTGGTGGTATAAGGTGTTCAAATAATAATAATGATTGATTTATGTGTGAAAGATGGCCTAGTTTTCATTTTATTACAATGCCGGGTAATCTTTTTTTTCCAGTCCACTCATTCAGTCCTTCTAGTTCTCTTAACAGAGAACATATTAAAGATCTTGCAATTCTGTTGTAAAAAGCCAGATAAAAAGCAGCTAGAGAAAGACCAACTCCATCCAGTTATCCTTGCAATTGCAGTAACAGATCCTTCCTCATATAATTTCAGTAGGGCATTTGGTGATGCAGGAGTACATCATTTTAGAGAATTCTTATGTTACCTGTGCCTTCTTTTTGGATAGACTGGAACTGTCTTTATATTTGGATTTATCAGTATGGTATTCCTGGTATGCTTTTCACATATTCACACATACTTGTTTGTTTCTTTTACATTTGAAATGATGTTTTATGAAGTCTTATTCTGGCAAATGCACATAAAATATTTAACTTCATGCTGTCTTCCAATAGAAAAAAGAAAAAGCATCTGTCATTAAGAAAAACAATGCCTATGCAGTGGCAGTTGCCAACTATGCTCCAAATATTACCAAGGACTCAGTGCTACCAACCATCTCCAAGAGCGCTACAACTGCAGAACCCAACAAGGCAAAACCAGAAGCAAAGCCACAGGAAGCAAAGAAGACATTCAATAGTGTTAGCAAAATTGACAGAATGTCTAGAATAGTGTTTCCAGTCTTATTTGGTACTTTCAATTTAGTGTATTGGGCTACATATTTAAACAGGGAGCCTGTCTTACTTGGCTTTGCGCCATCAACCTAAAAGCTGAATTGCACTGAGGACTTAAAGCATCATTCTAATCAGATAGGTTGTTCGCTATGTACAGTACGACTAATAACTGCTAATCTGTGAACCATTATGTACAGAGTGTATATAGATGTTTTATCTGTGTATCTCCAAAGGAGGAACACAGTGTTAATTCATGGGTCTGTAAACAGATAGCACCCATGGCAAATATAGCCAGCTCTTTAAAAGTTATACCCAGGGGAGTTCTGTTAAACTAGGATACATATATACAGAATTATATTCTCTCCGTACAATGAAATGAAGATATGATCCTACGTAATTATTTAGGAACAGTATTTTTTTAATTTAAAGTTAAAATATTTTTCTATAAAGTAACTAATTCTACTTTAATGAAAGAAACTGTCATTTAAAAAAATGATTTTTTTAAAAAGGCGTAATTGTTTCATACAATAGCAGTACCCATGTACATAACAGAGTACGGAAATCGTACAGTTCTATTGTTCGCAAACATTCTGGATACTAGTTAGGCTGAAGAGGTAGTAAAAACTACTATATGGCAAAAGTCACAAGTTTCTTACTTCTGTCCTGTTTGAAGTTGTTAACAAACTCTTCTAATTGATTTCAGGGAAAAACAAGTGTTAATCAAATTTCCAATATCAACCAACTTCTGCTAGTGAAACTCTTATTCTTTTCACTGTTTTATTTATTTGACGTTGCTAAGCCAGGTTGTCTGGTTCAGCAAAGTTGGATTATTTTTCTTTTTTCTTGTGTTCTTAATAGGATTATTGTCAGGTTCATAAAAGCACTCAGAAAATTTTCAGGGTTAAGTATATCAGTAATATATCACTCTTTTTCCTTGCTTAATGTTATCCTAAAACCTGCCATTAAAATATTTCCCTGTATTTGTCCCAGAAAGCATTGTATTCAAGGGAAAGAAGAACCATGATTTAAGTTCAGGAAATTGTCCATATAATAAAATTTACTGCTGCTTTTGTAAATTGCAACTTCACATTTCGCTGACATAACTTTACAACAACTTTGTATACTAGAAATGGTTTTGCTAAGATTTGAATGTTATTTTTTTAATAAAAGGTCATGCATCATCAGTAGGTATCAACTGTATTTCATATACACAAATAAAACAAAATTGGAGCTGCCATTTACAATTTTATATGAACATTTAATACTGATTAGTAAAACTTTTTCATCTGAGCCTTTGCAAAGATTCTTTAAGCCCCAAAAGGCCTGGTAAATCATGACATAAGTAATAATTGTGTACTGTATTTAGATTTTAGTGTACTTGGCCAATCAAAAATATTTTGATTCACACATACATTAGCAGTTATTAGTTGACCTTTAAAAAAAGATACACCTTTATGATGATGTCTTCTAGTAGAGACATATGTAGTCGTATAGTGTCATTTATTGCAGTTTTGTACAGTACTTGAGTATAGTGCATAAAATAGATATGTTCAGAATTTAACAAAGTTGTACAAATATTTCTAAAAATCAAATAAAAGAGTATCTTAAGACATGGAAATGCGCTAAAGACAACAAAAAGAAACACTGCTTTCATTTGCTGTTTCATTTTCTTGCTTTTTCTTTGCTTTTAATGTGATTCTGTTTTGTATTTTGTGTGACAGTATAGATGCCAAGGTCACAAATGTATATTATGAATAGAATTAATAGTAAGACAGAGTTGACTTCAGTAAAATAAAGACATTTCGTAAGTTATAAATGAAAGGGAGAAGCATGGACAAGGTGTGTATCCCTTGAAGTCCCTCTAATTAAACCATCAGATTCAACCTTTCTCATCAACAGTAGTTAAAAAATGAGCACTTTACTCAGAACATGAAAATAAAAATATCCTTATTTTCATATATATTTATATATAAATGTAGATCTTCCATGTAACATGGAGATGTGTGCAATAGTGTGATTATGAGCATAAGGCTGGAAGGCAAGCAATAAAAAAAAAGGTTTTTTCATAGTATAATTATACATATTTAAAATGTTTCATTTGTAAATTATAAATTATCCCTTTAATGTCACATTGTCCAGGTATGAATAAATATATAAATATGTACATATGTACAAATAATTGTAAATATAAGAACTGTAGAAAAATCCCTTCACTTTTAACTCTGTTTTTGGCAAAGGGCTCTGACTGTATAGTTTAATGGAGGCCCATGCTAAACTGCTCTTGAACTTGAGTAGCTCCATTGTTTTCTGTAGCTGAGGTCTCCTTCCTGTGACCTAGGGGGAGTTCTTACCTCGTGTTCACATCAGCAGATCTAGGGACTCTCTGAACCTCACTGGACTGGGGTATGAGAAACAGAGGACTGTGTTTCACCCTTGGCCACATCCCAAGTACTCCAAACCCTTCACAATTTTTAAACAATGTTGTGTATTGCTCCATGCATGACACTGTATAGTCAGAACTCCCCACTACAAACATGAGTGTGCTCAGAACCATGTTTGATTACCTGGTAAGGAAGGATTTTGCACCTTTATCCAAGAATGGAACCCCTCAAAGATTTTTAACAGTACAGTTCTTCTCCAACAAGACTTTTTCTCTGGAAGATAACATCTGTGTAATTCAGAGCTGCATGCAAAAAGTGTATCTTCAGATTCCACAAGAAGCCTGATGCTGTCTCATATGAGTCAGTTCTGCTATTACCTCTTTTATTGGGTATGATTATTTTTTCATTCACTGATCATTTTCTCTACACTTGTGTTATGCTTAGTCAGTCAGAAAAAAAACAGGTGTTTATCACATGCTAAATATACATTTATTACACACTACTATAGAAAAATAGGCATACTATATAAATTAACTCAGTGGAAAATATAATACATTTTTATATCTACATGCAGTTATTGTGGGCATCAACAAGGCTTTTGAGGGCATACACTCCAGAAAAGTTCCACTTTTACATTTGGTTCAGTTGGTCTGTGTTGAAGCAAACTCCTTTGGTGGGAGGAAGGAGGCTGCTTTATAGTTTCACTGCTGAAACACTTATAGTGAGTGAACTGACTACACACAAGTTGCAAATGTTTAAAACTAACAACTGGCTAAGTGAATTTGAATGTAAAGTTTTAAGTGAATGCAAGCATCATGCAAGGAACACCGGAATTACAAGAGTTAGGCCTTCTTTCATTTTGCAGTATAATCAGTGTCTGGGATTTTAAAGCTGGTCTCACAAATGTATGTGCCAAATACCTAGAAGTTTCATTTAATTTGAATAAAACTTGCTGGTCTTAAATACTTAAAGCGGGGAGAGAGAGTATGAGTGAGCACACACAAGTCACTTTGCTATCAAAGACTTGCACATGGAATCTACTAGTGAAATTTTTGGTTGATATGTTAATCTATTTTTCCCAGTACGCTTGGGTCAGGTTGTCATATTTTATGTGATTTAAGAAATTAATACAATAAATACAATGATATAGCACTGTGGTAAACTTGGATTGGAATTACCGTAATTCTGAACAAGGTTTATGAAATAGGTTTCCAGTGTAATACTGGAGCATGTACTTCTGGATGTATGTAGTTGGTAATTTAACAGTAGTTTATAAATCAGCATGAAGAATATACAGATCAGCAGGGTTTATCAGCCAGTGTTGTCTGTGGGACACTTAACAGATTCCTTTAAAAGAGTGGCTTGCAAACTTCTCAATGATGTTGTAACCAGTGAAATTACCTTCACCTTCTATATCTGGGTTAATTCAACTTGTAACTGCTGCATTGTCGAACACCATTAAAAAATATTATGGTAGATGTTCTGAGATACAAGTTTTAACTTGGGAGACTATTCATACAACTGAACATTATGCTAAATTGAGGAGCTAATAGGAGAGAACGTGAAATAGTTTCACTAGACACCAAATGGGAGCCTTACAGAATCATCTTCCCTTCCCAGTGATTATAGATAACATATGGGGTGGTGAGAGTTTTCAAAAGTGGGGTCACCATAAACTGCCTGCGTGAAAGCAACCAGAAGCAGATGGGAAGAGGTAGGGGTGTATGAAGGAGGAAAGGGGGAAAGAGAAGAAGCAATTGGCTTTGTTACTGTGTCAGTGGATTGAGGAATACACTGAGGAATCCATTGAAGAAGGTAACGCGTGTTTTTGCTTCAGCTTCAGTTCTGAGCCTTATTACTACATGTAAGTTGTGGGAAAGTAACTTTTAGAGCATATGAAATTGAAATACTTCTTGTGTAATTCTGCTGAACTTGAGGGACATGAGTTGTGTCTTTGAAACAGAGAGGCTTCTGCTGACTGCTTTGTGGAAACCATGCAATGTTGTCTGCTTCCTGCTGTATGGGACATCTAGGGCAGAGGGGGAAAAGAAACTTCAGGAATTAAGTAGAACTTTGTTAATTCTAGGTTTTGTTTTCTTAAGAGATGCGACTTTCACTTAAGCACAGATAGCATCCATCCTCTATCTCTCATTCTTATTCTGAAAGTGGTGCACAAGTTTTTGCCTCGTCCTTTCACGAAATAGATTAACTCTATGCTTCTGAACATTTCCATTCCTAACAATTTTGCATGAAAGATGATTTCAGTATGGATATGAACCTATCATCAGTCTATGCCCAATTACGTGTAAACACATAATGCTAAAATTTAGAAAGCAATGCAATGGGTTTTAAAGCAGAGGAAGAAAACATTTTAAAATCAGCCCAGAAAGTTAAATAGCTTCATCTAAAAAACACAGAACATGATAAATGTACAAACATCTAAACTAATCTAAATAGAATTTCTGAGTGTGGTATAATTTGATGTAATATATAAAGTTTTTTTCTTAAAGACTTTGAAATGTTAAAGTAATTAAGTGAGTTTATATGAAAGTCAGCTCACACTTCAGCCTCTAGTGAAGGGAGTCATTCTTTATAAAGCAGAGTTTTAGGATTCCTTCCATCTCTTCCCAGTGACAGTGCACCTTCTGCTAGATTGTTGTCATTTTAGTAATATCCCTTTAATATTACCTTCTCTTGATCTTTTTTTTTTTTTTTTTTTTTTTTTTGTGTTTGTTTGTCAAGGAGGCCTCCTCCACCTCATTTCTGTAGATAACCCAAACTCCCTAACAACCAGAAAAGACTTCATCATTTTAGACCTTTAGTAGTGGAAGCTAAAGGGTCAAAAGTTTGTTTCAATGAATGGCAGATATTAAACACATTTAAAAAAAAAAAAAGTTTTCCTCTACTTTAGACCATTTAATTTTCTAGATTCAGATCTCTCTAGCTGAATCCTTGAACTCATATTTTGGAGTCTGTGATTACATCTTACTGGAATAGGCTAAACTTTGAGGGCTTGACATCTCTGGCTGAGATCAGGGCAAAATTTGCACTGAATTTAAAATAAAACTGATTAGTATCCTCAGGATGTTTGTTTACATCACTGAAGTCAGTAAGGATTTTGTAAAGAAGGGAAGTACACCTGAGAGTACCTGGGCTCTTCTTTGGATAGAGGTGTTTAGTTCTTTAACTTATGAAAATAAGCCCTTTAAAAGAAGAGCCAGCCATACTGAAATACAGGACTTGATGTCTGTTTCATTCCTGGTATACATTAATGCCTTTTAAGATATTATGGAAGTGCTATGAGTTAGGAGTAGGTGATAACACAAAAAGGAATTTGGAGGTTGTTTTAAAATATGCAAGATGATGTATACTATTCCTCTAGTGTTGGTGTCTACATAAATATATATGAATATATTTTTATGGTTGGATGATTTAAAAGTTATATTTTGCTTTCAAATTTTAATTCCTTAAATAATGTTGTGAATACCTCACTCAATCAGGTGGCCTGGAGCGTGTCTTTATGCATTCAAGGTTTTTAATGATTGCACCGAGTGCTTTCATTCATCTGATATTCAAAGAGGTGAGCTTCAGCAGGTTGAAGTGTTATATTTGTTTTACAGGACTTCATCCATCTATCTACACTGTTAAGGATGGATGGAAATAGAAAATGGAACAAGATATTGCTTTGATCAACTGCTTTTGATATTCTTTATTAGATGTTCATTTTGGCTGAATTTATCAGTTTATAGGCTACTGTAGCTTAGCATTAGCACGGAATGCAATGTAGTACTTCACACCTATTAGAATACGTATGTACAATATGTACCGTATCTATAAACTGTTAAAAAAACAGTTCCTAAACAGCACTCCTTCACTCCGCTCCCCCCCAGAAAGTCACTTTATTAGGAAACATTTGAAGGCACTTTAATTTTAATGGAAGTGATTACACTAAATCTTGTTATATTTGATTTTTTTTTTTTTTTTAATAAATAAATAATGTGGAGTCTGATTCAGACATTGTTAGCAACTTCTCAGCTGTGCTGGAGTCAGAGAGCATTTATGCATCATATGACAAATCTACTTTAGTGAGTCACTTAGGTGTAAGAATATATAGGAGTTTGAAAATAGATGCTTCCAGTATATTAACAAGAAATAAGGAAACAGGAAGAATGGAACCCATAATTTTAAAGAAAATTAAACACCAATCAAATATGCATAGTAAGAAACTGCATGATAAATGTAAGTATACTTAACCTTGAACATCAACGTCATATAAAATCTTCTGGGTGACAGTTCACTTATTTAGTAGGTTTCATAGTTATAAATAATTAAAGAGGACAAAAATATTCTGTAATTTGTGACCTTGTTTTAACTGGAAAAAGTTGTTACTTTTCTAAACTGTAAAAGAAATAACTGGATTTATGTTTGAATGTGTCACTGCTTGCTGTTGAAGAATATTTATTAACCACATGCAAAATATTGCTTAACATTATCTTTTTGTACTTCTTATTAAAGTTAATTTAAATATAGCACATTTTGTATTTTTGGTTTTAATGCTTTGACAGCACAAATGTTTAATTCCCCTCACGGCTTTTCTCTTAGGATTTGTGTGTGGGTTTTTTGTTTGTTTGTTTTTGTTGGCTTATTTTTAAGCAACCCATTACAGCCTCTGTGAAGGTGCTTTTTCATTAAGGATAGAATTTCCCATAGGAAGCAAATAATATATTGGAAATAAAATATTCCTTAGCTTGTTGAGAGTTTAACAGAGTTTTCTATTTACATGTTGAGAATGCCCTCATGGATTCATATTACGCATGGCTATGTTTCATGTTTTCAGAAGGTTATAAAACATACTGCTGCAGGGTATTCTCTAACCACCAGTTGATGTGGAACATAAGAAAACTCCTACTAGACAGCTTGGTTCATCAGAGTGAGTAGATGGGGTAACAAAGCTTACTTGGAAAAAACCCCAAATATTTATGTTGTTTGCAGGGAGTGGGTTTGGTTTTGGTTTTGTGTTTTTTTTTGGTTGTTGTTGTTTGTTTTTTTTTTGTTGTTGTTTTTTTTTTTTTTTAAATGAGTGTTCTGAGTTCCAAGACTTTCAGTGGAAAGGCTATAAATATTTCAGGGATGGCCCTTTCTTTTCCTGTATAGCTGCAGCTTCTAATGGCAAACACATAAATGTTCTTCATGGAAGATGGAAGTATTTTTTTTTAATCAGAAGGGATTTGGAGCTCCTTGTATCTTGGCTGGGGCTATGTAATGCTCTCCTAGTGTACCTGGGGATGCCAGGACAGAGTGTGAGGAATCCAGATTGTGAATAGATAAATATATTAGTTATAATAATTTACATTGGAAAGAATTACTGAAGGTCATCCTGTCCAATCCCCTGCTCAAAGCACAGTCACATTACATGAAGTTGTGTGAGGCCTTGTGCAGTCAGGTGTTGAGCATCTCCAAGGATGGAAACCACACAACCTCCCTGGGTCTCTGTCATCACCTTCATGGCATAAAAACACTTATTTGTATTTGATTGGAATGTCCCATATTACAAATTGTGCCTATTGCTACTTGTTATATTGCTTCAGACTTCTGAGACAAGTGTCCCTATATATATTTTCCAAGCTTTAGCTCTAAGTGGTTTGGTTTTATTGTTAATTTAGATGATTGAAAATGCTAACATTTGGGCCCAGCCTTATCACAAGGCTGCCTTTCCTAGAGTTTTCCTTGGAAGATCACTGCTTAGATCCTACTTGCTTGTACCCCAGAAGAGATATTTGGACTGGTCGATAAAAAACTCCACCTGCCTCTGTGAATCAGTACAATATCCTTTGCATGTGTATGATGACTTCTGTCAATTAACAAGATGCAGCAGAAGAGCCTTGCTATCACATATCCTCATGTAATCAAATTGGATGATTTTTCACATGCTTTTCCACAGGAAATTTCAGGTATTGAGGCGATTCAAAATACATATTATATCAGATGAGGAGAACCCTCCCTTTTATACATTGACTACCACTGGCCATGTGGTAAGGGTTACAATGTGGCTGATGGACTTAATTTTTTAATTTCAACTGCATGTTGATGTTTTAATTTCAACTTGACTATAGAATGCTATATATCCAGTAGCTACAACTACCTGATCGATTTCAGCTCGAACAGCGACATACCTCCGTGACGGAACAAATGCATGATGCTTCATAGCCAAATGTCTGCCCTTTCAGCCTTGGAGCTTCTTGCATGAGGAGCACTCCCTGAATAGTTGCTGAAAATGAATGGCAGATTTGCAGGCAGGCAGTGCACAGTGTTCTCTTCCCCTGGGGAAAGGGTCCTGTGTAGTTACATAGCCTTTTGGTCTGGGAAGACCTGTGCTTCAGTGCCAGCACCTCCCTACAGGAAGCTGGGAACCTGTAAAAGAAGGGCTGGGTAACTGCAGTTGTGGTCCCAAGGTAACGTATCACAGCTCCTTCTTGTGCTTTGTATTCTGGCACCTGCTGGCAGGACAGGCTACATCAGTTAGGTGCCTTCTGTATGCACCAGAAACAGCCTTCTGTTCAGAAACAAACTGTAAAACCTATTGCTCCTTGTGGCCCTTGGCTGGGACGTCTTTATGAGCTATGTGGCATACCTTGTAGAGTTCAAGATATTGTGTTGCTCGTAGTTCAAATTCTGTTAGATGATTCAGCTTGGATTTCAGGCTTGTAAACTCTTGAGTGTTAAAGGTACCAACAAACACCAACAAATATATTTCTTGGCATTGGAATATTTGTCAGAGTACACAGTCTCCTAACTGTCATCACAGTCTCCTGGATTTGAAGGGAAAATCCAAATGTGAGGAGTAAAAAAATGTCAAAGAAAGTTCACTTAAGTTCTCCAGGTCAAACTGCTATTTACATCATATCTCTAACTGTATCCTGCACTAGGATGTACGCTCCATCTGCAGATTGGCACAGACAGAGTGAGGGCATTGCCTTCCTGTTAATGGACTGGGTTTTCTTCTGGATTGTTTTGTGACATCTCAAAAGTGTTTTGTTTTTTTTGTTTGGGTTTTTTTATTTTTTTGTAGCACACCTTATACTGTTAGTCTAGTCTTGATCCTGAAGTCCCAGAGAGACTGTTTATTGTATTACAGAGTGACACTGAAGTACAACGTTCTCAGTGAACTCCAGTCCTGCTACAACACTGTCACTAACCCTGTTCCCAGGGAAAAGCCTATGAACAGCACACACACTGAATATTGAGCAATACATTGGGGAATGCGTGAGCCTGATTCTTGTTACCACTTCACAGCTTGCCATTTCTTTTCCACTGCTCCAAAACCATCAACCGTTCCTTCAAGTGGTGCTGAGAGTTTGGTCAGCCCATGACACACTCATAGGTATGTGCTCGTGTTATCCGGGCATTGTTCCCTGCTTTTCTCTAGAGCTGTAAATCAGTAGCTTTTGAGTGTGTACCAATGGGCTCCAATCTCAGTAGTATGACCAGTACTTTTATTATGTATCTATTCAAGGTATTTGCTTATTGAGAGATTTACTGTTTTATTAGGACACTGCAGATAAGACCTCCTGGAGTCACTGGATGAATCTGACTTTTTTTTGCATTTCTTCCACTTCATAGATAATATCGTAATATAAAACAACCAACATCCCAATGCTAAGATAAAAATAAGGATGTAATTATCACTGAAGAAACTGTTCTGCTTGTCTCTTAAAAAATTTCCTTTTTCATGGATGCAGAACTGTAGGCAGACCAAATATGTTTGGAGAGCAAAATATGCTTGTAATGCTCTCTTATTAGCAATTGTCCAAAGATAGCTAACTGAAGGAAAAAGTGTTTTACTTCAGTTAGAATATTTTCTTTCTCTGATTATTTCGCCAGTATCAAAGATAACTTTTATGCTCTTATGGAATGTTGAGGCATTAATAACAATGCAGAAAATGGACTATATTATATTTTTTCAGAAAATATTGAATCCAAAAGTCAGATTGTAATTAATGAGGATTTCTTTTCAACAGTACGCTTTGTGTATGGATATGAAGCAAACAGGGGCCATGAGTAAATATTTGCAGTTGACAAATCCTGTGGGAGAAGAAAAGCATTTAGTTAGACCCAGCATGGAAAACATTTTGAACTTTGCATTTGTGGTGGATAGGAGCCACAGTAAGTGAAAGATGAATATTCATAAGATTTTAAATATTGAAAAACAACTCTGCTTTCAATTTCTTTGCAGATCTTTTGAGACCTTCATAAATTATTAAAGAGGAAGGAATTCGATGTCTCTTCCAATTTCCAGACTAGCATCATTTTTTGCTAATACTGGGCATGAGTATTAAGTGCAAAAAATGTGACTGACTCTTATGAAGATTACTGTTTTGTTCAGAGCAACTTATTTAACTGCTGCATTCCTCTCCATCCCCCAGATCAATTGTTAATATTTTGAGGTAGTCAGAACTGGCAATGAAAATGCCCCTAAGTTGTGGCTTGATATATTGCTGTTAAATCTTTCTGATGGAACACATTTTACTTCAAAATCCCTTTCTGTTCTTCCTTTCTATCACAGTCACTTAACACTAAACAGGTTAGTGTTTGCAGAAATGACAGTGATGGGAGTTTAGAGTCAAACTATGTTTCATACTGTATTATAGGTAGAGTTCAATAGCTTTTACTGAGGGCTCTGTATGGTGGTCAGTGTTTCTATTAAAAAAAAAAAAAAAAGTCTGACAGTATTAATACATTAGAACAAGTGTCCAGTAATGAGCCAGTGACCAGGTGATACTGGGAATATCAAACACTAGATCCATAGCTTCACACCTCACACTAAGAGACAGTAATAAGAAAAAAAAAAATTAAAAAAAAAAAAAAAAAGAGTGGAGAAAACCTAAAGCAATGCAGGAGGCTTCTGAAGTACATTGATGACATGGCACAGGTGATGGCGAAGCCAACAAGGGGAGATGCACTGCTGTAGTTCATACTTACAG